GAAACAACAACATCAACCAAACCAGAAAGAAACAACCCGGCAATGAGGCAAAACAGCAGACACAGAGAAGCCACAAGTCACATCGAGAAAAATGGACAGAAACCACAGTGATAAAAGAAGATGAACAAAAGAATAAGACAAAAAAAGAGAAACTGATTTCAGTAAGCAGTCATGATAAAGTCACAGGTGTACATATGCTGTCTGGTTACAGTCTTCCCACGTGGACCCACACCTGTGTACTCCAGATACCTTTCATCCCTCAGGCTCCTCATTGCAGGTTACTGTAAAGATCTAAACCATGGACTTATGCACATAAATGTCTACCTGTGCCGAATGAAGCGAATAAAGGAATGCTTTAAAATGATGTTCAAGGGTTTTACTCTTTTGTAATGGTCACATCATGAAATATGTTATAAACTATTTTAATAAAAAGTTTGATTGGTGATGTTTGTCAGTACTCAAATTTTACGTCTGAAATATATTTTTTAATGTGTTAAACAGCACATATGAATAGCAGAAGTTAATGTTATTTTTACTAGACCTAAAAAAAATTGTTCAACATATTATATAAACATACTCTAGCTTTCAGAGTGCAAAACCTTCTCCAGTCCAAAAAAGACTATCTACTGAAAATAAACTGCAACACCTCATTTCAGAATTGTACATGATCGCCCACAAATGTTGTGCTATTGTTTTGTTTGGCTTCGTATAGCTCTTCTTAGTCATCTTAAGGATCTCAATATAAGGAAACAGTGAAAGTATATATATTATTGCTTATTTTATATGTGAAGAAATTAGGATAACAGAAGCAATAATCATAACATCAAGCAGCAAAAAATAGCCAGAGAAAAGTTGGGAAATGTTTGGGTTAAAGTAAATCACACTGTTATTAGAGTAAGAAACCGTGATTAAAATTATAAGTGGAGATCAGGGAAAGAAAAACATTTAATCTGACATAACCCTTTTACATACTATTGTGAGGAAATTCTAAAAAATAATGCTGAATATGTGCATAATATTAAAGTGGTATTTCAGTGAGTGTCTGCCCCACCTGTCTATGCCCTCTCCCCTCACTCGGTGAGCGAGACCAGTGGCGATCAGATCTGTCGTGTGGATGGCGGTGGTAGTCACGCTCATGACTGCACCGCTCCTTGTCCACCGAGCTGTGGTGGTGATGATGATGATGATGGTGGTGGCGACGGTCTTTTGCACGACCCCGTTCTCGTTCTCTCTCTTTAGGTGGGAGGTCACCTGACTGTGTAGTGGTGCTAAGATCCGTGCCCAGACCTGCCAAAGCCAACACAGAAATGAAATGAGATAGCACTAAAGAGGAACATTAAACCCAGTTGCTGTCTAAGTGAGGATGGATTATGAAGGGGTTTTGAATGACATGATGGTGAGTAAAAAATGTTACTTAATTTTTTTTAATGGTGACACTTTATTTATTCTTTTTTTCTTTTTGTTGACTATAAGTAACTACATGTCAACTAAATGATTGTTAGGGGGTCAGTAGAATAAGTTGACGTACTTGTAAAGTTAGATATACATCAAAATAAAGTGTTAGCAGATATTGAGAAGACAGTCTACTCATACTCTAATGACTGGTAGTTGACATGTAGTTGCAAAGTTACATATAGTTGTCTAAAGTGGACTATCAAAATAAAGTGTTACTGACACAGTTGTTTCTCATAATATCTACAGAACTTATTAATTTTAAAAACCTGTGTCTGCGTCTGTATAGCGGGCGAGGGATCTCTCTGAGGTGCGGTGACTGCGGTCTCTCTCCCGGTCTCGATTTCGTTGTCTTCTTTGCGGACCATGTCGGTGACCCTCTTCTGACACCACCCGTTCCAAAGAGTAATCGTCCAATCGCACGCCTCGACCTGAATGTCCGTGGACCAATGAGGATGTAGAACGGTGCATCGGACTTGTGTCTGTGATGGTCTACAGAAAAGAAATGAAAGACAGTTTATAAAACCAAAAGTTTATATTGATGTGTGTTTTTTCATAGAGCAGCTTGATCATATGCAGTGGTACGAGTGCATTTGTGTGCGTGATTGAAAACATTTGAATGTAATTCGGTTGACAGTAACACTCAGCCCATTCCACGCCCACAGAGAAAACCAAGGCACAGGTATATCCGTCATGCTCAGTGAAGACAGAAAGAGAAATAGTAATACAGAGAAAGAATAACAGACAGACAGATACAAAGATTCACAGACAGACAGACAGACAGACAGACAGACAGATAGATAGATAGATAGATAGATAGATCATGCCTTACATGCACTGCAGCTTTTCTGATTCAAGCGGAACCATTAAATACTTGTTGTCTTTCTCTGCCTTAGCTAAACACACAGCACCCAATCCAGCAAAATAAAGTTTAGCACATTTGTCCATGCACACACCCGGAGACATGATGGTCAACATGACAATCTATAACATGTGTGGACGCACAAAGACAGACTTGGGCACATATCGCTCTCCTGCTCTAAACATGATCTGAAAACTGAAATAACCCTTCATGCTTTTCTTTTCACTCACACACATAATGATTTATGCCATGCGCCTTATTGAAACATGCTAACAACATGACCGTTATTGGCAGCAGGATTTCCTGTTTGAAATCCATGCGTCAAGAACTACGAGACAGCAAAAGCTCCCCATGTTCCCAGGACCAGAAATACAGAGATAAGATACAGGCAGACATACACACACACACACACACACACACACACATACAGGGATACAGGGCTGCAGGACAGGAAAAAGGCATAGAGAGAGAAAGGTACAGTGACAAACAGAATATACAGAGGGAAAACAGGAAAAGAGGGTGAATAACAAGAAGGATGGCATGAAATAAAGAGTTCAGTGTGACATCAAGACATAAAGAGAGACGCAGACTCCTAAAACAGACAAAAAGCGCAAGAGAGAGAGAGAGAGAAAACGATAGAGAGCATGGAGAAGATAGAGAGAGGCAGGAAGCCAGAGATGGTACATACACTGAGGTTACTTCCTCGCGGCCTGTGTCTCCGTCGCTGTCGAACAGCAGACAGACGGTGCGCAGAACAGGACACACACATGAGACCACAGGGACGATACACACAGAGCACAGCATAGAAAGTGTGAGAGGAAAAAAGAGAGAGGGGAAGATAAAGGAAGTACAGAGGAAATGGAACGAGGAAGGAAGAAAGAAGGGAAAAGGTGAGTAGGAAACCAAGGGGATCAGAGATATGATGACATAAAAATGGAGACAAATTCAATGTGCAACATGACAGAATGGGCAAGAAAGATCACAGGGGTGAGAAATTCTCAAAACAAGAGGAAAGGGATTGATGGAATAAGAAATTAAAGACGAGTGCCATAGAAAGTCCATGAAAGTAAGGAGAGACAAAAAAAGGAAGAAAAAAATGGGGAAAGAAAGGGAAAATTGGTGAAAACAAGAACAAGTAAAACCACAAAATGACAAAGGAAAAAAAGAGAAAATGGAAGTACAGAAAAGGGAAATAGGAAACCAGAAAATGAAAAGAAGAAAAAGGGAAGGAGGAAACCATGAGACATTATGGGTAAAACAGAGGCAAATAAATTCATAACCATGTTTGGTTGTGCAAAATAACATGAAGGTTAAAAGTAAAATAAAAAAAATAAAAAGGGTAACCGTAAGCCCATTAAAAGGAAGAACAAACAAGACCAAAACAAAGAAAGAAATAACAAGCAAAATGAAGAAAGAAGGAAATAAGTACAAAAAAAATAATAAAAATAAAAATGAGAGCACAAAAAACAAGTAAAGTGGAAAAGTAGAGAAGGGAGAAATAGTGATGCTCATTTTAATTTGGAGAAAGCACAGAAACATTAGAGAGAGCACAGAAACACACGGGCATTGAAAGGAAGGGGTTGGGGGGAGGTGGAGGAAAAGGAAAGAGAAAAAAGACAAAAATTGAGCGAGTGTATAGGAAGATAGGAAGCACACTAACACACTTACCGCAGCAGAACGCACACTCTGTGGGGCAGAGCAGTGTTAGACAAGAGTGAGTCACAAGAACAAGAACCACATCTACGTTACAGCTTTACGACACACACAAGCACAGACTTTGGCTCCTCACACTTTCTGGTATGTACTGTACACACCACACTTCCAACACACAAGTGAACCTATATTGATTCTAGCAGACTGTTACTAGTTTGTGAGGTTTCTATTTAGTCAAAACACGCGTAGACGCTCTCACTTTCTCTCAGGAGCATGTACATTAATCTTTGCTGAGGCCCACTGCAAACACCCAGTTGTAAATGCATTAGCGAGAGGTTTCATGGCTGAATAGGGTTAAGAATGAGAGACAAAGTGTGGTGATGGCAGTAATAAAGAGATTGCTCTCAGTTTCTCTCATACACACACATACGCCTCACTTCCTTTCTCAGGGAAGTAACAGGTTGACACAATGAACAGCTGGACGGATTCTCACTGTGTAGCTCACCCTTAAACACACACACACACACACACACACACACACACACACACACTTTACAACACAGAGACACACGACTCTCTCACACTTATCTTATACACACTTGGACAAATTGCTAAACCCAGACGCATCTCCAGAGGAGAGTCAACCAAGAGATCATGGGGATTATTTATGTCAGGGTGAGATATGCTCTCTGTGTGTGTGTGTACATTTATGCATTATAGCATAATAGTATTAAATGCATCATTGCTTCTATGTGATGTGTTGTGGGTGAATGCTTGCGGAATTTAATGTTGTGAGTGTGTTACTGCCTCCAGAGGTTGATTTGTGGTAGTGTTTCAAAAGTATGAATGAATGAATGAATGAGGGGATTTACAGTATATAGCACTTTATGCAGTGCTTATGGAGATATATCCAGCTGCAGACCCGCAGCACCAGCAGTTTCAGAACCGCAGCCACAGAACCGGAAGTGAGGGGCGGAGTTATTGACAACGAGAGAGCATGGTGAGTAGTCTGTAATGTTTTTGCTATCATATGTTTAATAATTATT